GAACATTTGTTTCTTTTGTTCCTACACTGCATATCCAGAATGTTGTCTTGTTTCTTTTTTCTTTAATATTGTAGCAGAAATTGTTGAAAAGTAGCAAATCTTTTCCTTTCTGGCTCATTCCCTTTAGATTTTAAATGAATAACTTTCTTTCTCACAATCTGATTTTGGAGAAACTATAAATGAAACTTCCATCATATTATTTTGCTGAGCTGGAAGATCTTCAACTAAAACATTGGTGTGATTCCATAATACTGCCATTTGTATCATTTCCACTTGAATTTCCACAATGATTTTCACAAACAATAGTTTGCTCATTTCTATTATTTGCTGTATCAAAATTTGGTGTTTGTCTTATTTCTTCATTAGCAGATGCACTAGAAGGTAGCCTTTGAAGTGCAAACAATGCATTTCTTCATTGATATGTCACAGCAAATGTTACAATAAAATGATTGATCTGTGAAAAAATATAAAAACATATTTGTAAGGAAGGATAGTGACAAAAAACTTAAACAAACCTTTATAATCCAAACATTTTTTATGTATTTTAAATAAATGACAGCAAAGCTGACATTTCTCTTGATTTTGTCTTCCATATATTCTCTCTTCACAAATGTAACAAATTGGTGCCATGTTCAATTTGGAATCTCTATCAATAACCAACTGTATAAATTTAAAAATTAAACAATTAACAATAATGATAAACAAAATGGCTGCTATAAAAATAAAGCTAATTTATAAATAAATCATTTCAACACAATATTCTATAACTTACTGATATCAATTCTAAAGTTTGTGTTTTGTCTGATGGTTTTCAATAGTGAAATATATTTCAAACTGCAAAAAATTCTGAAAAATTGTAGATTAAATATGCACAATATTCACTTTCCATGAAAAACATAGAAGATCCCAGAACTGTTTCCTGTCTGGATTTCAAAATGGCTACCAAAAGTGATTGCATTATGGGAATGTATTGGATATATCTCAAAATCAATAATAAAAATTTAAATTTGAAAAAGTATTTTTTAATATATTCTTCACATAGTGGACATTTTCTCCAGTGGACGTTTTCTCCAACCAGTGGACGTTTTCTCCAATCAGTGGACGTTTTCTCCAGTGGACGTTTTCTCCAGTGGACATTTTCTCCATAAATCAGAAGCATTTTTTCTGTGCACTTAGATATAATGATATATCAATACTTAGACTTTAGATATAAAGGTACATTAGAAAGACTTCTATTTTATAAGAATTAGACTGGTGCAACTATAGAAATACTTATATTTCATAGGAATTATAGTGGTGGAACTTTAGAAAGACTTTTATTTCATAGCTTTAGCTTTTAGTACTTTAGAAAGAACTCTATTTCATAAGAAATAGACTCTTGACTGTAACTGATGGTGGCTACTTGGGAATTAACAAAGGAACAAAGAACATGGAAAAGATGCAGGTCAAACACCAGATGCTGATGAGGCAGGCCTGTTTACTGCGACACATGTTTGACATGTGGCCCTAATCTTAGGATTATATTTTATATGTGTGATATAACAGTTTTTCATATTATGTAAAAAATACTTTTACAACTTAGTTTAAATAGTGTATGTTGTAGTTTTAGGCGTGTAGAGTACTCTATAATACTCTTTCAATATTGCTTTCCATTGATGAATGAAATGAAACAATTTGGGTGTATTGTGTGAATTTGTGAGTCTGGTTATAAGCTTATGTGTTTAGTACCTACGAACTGCCTAAATGTGTACAATAGACTCAACTCAATATTTTTTAATGTGAATGTTTAACATTAAATTATCAAAAGCAATTGTGCTTAATGTATTCACATTATTGGTTTGGTTATAGATATATTTTATATTGCATATTTTAATTGGTTCCATTCATTATCAATTATCTTATAGTTCAAAAGTAATGGCAGTGTTATTACTTTTTACATATAAGCCTACATATACTAACCCTGTACCAAATGTCAAGGGAATCGGAGCACTTTGAAATTTTTGATAGTTTTAATGGCCAACTCACAAATGACAGACAGTAATATTCGAACTGTGGCTGCATCAAGCCTATCAACAATCAGTCTGGTAGCAATTGCACTGAAGCCTTAGCCAAATCCTGTTTACAAGTGTGAATGTAATTGTGAGATTACCAGTCTCTACTAACTGTGCTAATCCCTAACCCCAAGAACTAACCCTAACCCTTAACCCTAATCAACTGTAATTGTCCTTTCCAATCATTTATCAATTTGCCGAAGAACTCAAACAAATAGAAACTTTAAAAATTATAAACAAACAGTCTAACAAATGTAATTTTGTTAGAAATGAATCAACAAAACAAAGAATAGTTATTGAGTAAAGTGAGTTTCTAGTTCTGAAAAAACTAGTTTAAACAACTAGTGACATTAGAAAACTGAACTATTTAAAACCAAGAGTGACATTTAAAGACAAAGAAAAGTTGTAAATATGGTCATGTTTTTATTGTTTTCCTCTTCTAAATAATAGTTGAATTTCAAAGGTTGGAGAGTTGCATAAGATGTAACAATTTTAGTAGGACAAGTCCAACAATCAAGAAAACATGTGGAATGTATATTTGACTGTTTTTCTATTCTACTTTAATTATGATATTCAGTTGATTGTATTAGTAAATTAAGCATCAGTATATGCAGAGGAAGTATATCTGATTAATGCATGTTAAGTAGAACAGTATTGTGTATGCAATACTGTTGGATAGTGATTATAATCTAAAATTAAATCTTATCACATAACAATTTATTGAATAAGAAAATAAGAAACTATAGGCTTACAAAAAATCAACATTATACACATTCTTAAATGCCATAAGAAATAGATGGATAAAGCAAGACAATATTGTAACCAGTGATGCCTATCTTCTCAATCAACCTGCTTGAACTAAATGAATCATAAAAGTATTCAGTTGAAAAAAAATATTTAGTGACTGTTTTCATTCTTGAACATGCTATAGGGTTAAAAATTTCTTACATAGTGACCTTCAAACTAACAGCATGTATTCATATTAAATATGAATTATTAATAGTTATTTATCTTATCAATTTGTCATCAACATTTTTATGGGAGTGACCTATTTTTGTATAAAGAAACTTTCAATTTAGTCATTTGCATTCCAGATAGAATTTCATTCTTCAATATTATTCTACTATCTGCTTTAATGGCAATTTCTGTTCTTAATATTCCATGATTTATTGCTAGACAGGTTTGAATTGAAACAATTTAGAGTATAAAGCAGACACAGGTAATCCCCAATAAATAACCAAATCATACATAAGTTCGAAAAGTGTAACAGTTTAGTAAATGTGCTTATTACTCTATCATAATGATACTTACACTAAAAATACTTAGCAAGATATAAGCGTATATGTTCTTTAGTAATATTTTACATAAAAGTTTGAGTAGTAATATTTTTGAATTTCAATGAAAAATTGTAAAATGACAAAGAAAGATACAATAATCTCAATATCATATACAAATTATTCTGATATTTTTTTTAATATGAACATTATTGTTGAATTTTAAACAGTTTAGAGTACAGTTATTAGGCTTATTCTTAAAATTTCCTATGTAGGTCACTGTTTTGTATATCTATTGAGGTTTGATAAAGAGGAGCTGACAGTTTCGTTGACAGTTTTGTGTCAATAGGTTGTTGAAGACTAAGTTGTAGATTGTTAAAAGAGTGATGTAAGTACAATTTTGTAAAACATTAATGGAATATTTATTCTTTTGTTTTAATTAAGGTAAATATGTAGTCAACTATAGCCAATATATGAGTGAATTAATACTGATAAAAATAGAATACTCTTAGTTTCATTAATAATTCAAAGATATTTTTTTAACTATATCACTAGAGGTGAAATTTCACTTCTAATTTTAACTTCTATCTTAATGAATAACCTTGAAAATGTTAGAAAAGGTTTTACCTTATTGAGCGTCATGTATAATATTGAATAATATTGAAGGCTGTGTACCAAAAAGCAAGTCATAACTGAGTAAAAAGCTTTGAACAGTCACAATAAATTTTCAATGAACTCTCTCTCTCATAAAATTATACTATTAGTTTTTGTAAAGAAGTATTAATGTTGATTCTTTTAGCATGCCTTTAACACATCCTATTGAAAATGCTGGATATATCTCATATTTTCTACAAGCGTAAGTTAATTACAAATTTAAATAAAAAAAACTAACCTATTAAAAAAAAAAAATTAGTTGGATTATTGGAATTGTGAGAAAGCAAGATTGGAAAAAAAACATTCGAAAATTTGCTACACCAACAGAATATGATTCAAAGATATTACACCTGTCATTAAAAGAGTTAGTTAATGTTTATCAGTTATAAATTTATAATGCTATAAAAATTTTTGAAAAATTACAGGCTATTTGACAAAGATCAAAAGAATGGAAAGAATATATCTATTTTGAAGCATCTGTTTACTTTATCGAAAACAGCCCTTTTGAAGGCATACTTGTGTAGAATTTTTTCTATTACTTTTAAAATGACTATTCCCTTTCTACTTCAAATAATAGTCTTTGATTTGGAAAATAAAGTAACCTACACAACATATGTTGTAGCATTTGCATTAAGTAATTTTTTTATACTTTTTCATAGTGTATCATCTAATAATATTAATATTTTCAGGTTTCTTTTTATTAATTGATGGCATCCTCAGTAGATTATCAACAGTAATTTCAATATATCAAGCCATTGCTCTTCGTGCTGCTTTAAGCTCTTGCATATTTGAAAAAGTATTTTGTAGATTGAAGAAAAGACAAACTATAATTGTACTTTAAATAATTTCAGATAATGAAAATAGATTATCAATTATATCATGCACTATCAACTGGATTTATTCTCTCTACAATTTCAACTGATATTGAAAAACTGTATGTCTTTGCAACATATGTCACTTCTATTGTTTCAGGCACCTTGCTAATAGTTGTAGTTACAGTTTTGATAGCTATCTTTTATAATCCTATTGCTGCACTTGGTTATTTTTCTTTGAATCTTGCAATTGTTACTTTTCTGTGTTTTTTTGGACTTAAGCAAGGTTCATTTAGAGCAAAAATAGCAGAGAAAAGTGATAAAAGAATTTTATTCATGAATGAAATCTTGATTGGTATGCAAACAATAAAGATGCAAGTGTGGGAAAAATATTTCATAAAGACAATTAAAAAATTAAGGGAAAGTGAAATATTGGAAATATTTAATACTTACATCTTTCGAAACATCAATAAAGCAATATCTATTATTGGAGTTAGATTAAGCACATTGTTAGTCATTACAATCTGCAAGTTATTAGGTGAAGATAACTTCACTTATCCAGTCTATATACGACTTTTATTGCTCATTGCATTCACCCAAGCTGATATGTTTCAATATCTTCCATTGTGTTTTTACCTAATAAATGAAATAAAATCTTCAATGGGAAGAGTTAATGTAAGTTATCAAACAAATTTATTGTATAATGATAAATTATTAAATACATCTTTATCAGAAACTACTAAATGCACAAGACAAAAATGATAATGAAAAGGAAATGTCATTGGAGGAAAAAGCCTATCTAAAAACAGATGATTCAGTTTTTGCAGCTTGTAAAATTAAAACAGCATGGAAGGTATAATATTTAATTTAACTGTTACTCAATTTGACTCTTACTTTTAAAAATAGAATTCATGCTCTGAAAAATTAAAATACTGTTTAAGAGATGTGACAATCAAAACTTCCGAATCCAAACTAATTGGCATATATGGCTCAGTTGGTTCTGGAAAAGTATATATAATATAGTCTTTTTTTATGTAAATAATATTGTTTTCTATGCAGTCAACTCTCTTATTAACAATTTTGAAAGAAATACCACTTTTTTCTGGCTTCTTGAGCTGTCCCTCTAAAATATCATTTGCTCCTCAACTATCATGGTTGTTCAATGGTTCCCTAAAACAAAATATCCTTTTTCATGAATCATTTGATGAGAAGAAATATCAACAAGTTCTCCATGCTACTTCACTTGAAAAAGTAAGTTCAGCATCAACTCCAATATTTATAAAAAAAATCAACTTATATAATATCTAAGAATAGCACAACAATATTATTTTATTTCTTTCATTATTTTTCTAATTAGGATATAAGTGAGTGGGTAAATGGTGATCAAACACTGGTAGGTGAAAGAGGTCTCATGTTGAGTGGTGGACAGAAAGCAAGAATTGCTCTAGCAAGAGCTATCTACAGAGATGCTGATCTTTATTTATTGGATGATCCACTGAGTGCTTTAGATAAGAAAGTTGGAGGAGAAATTATGACTAGATGTATAAAAGGATATTTGAAAGATAAATTAATCATACTTGTTACACATCAAGTTTCATTTCTCAAGCAAGCTGATTTTTTGTTTGAATTAGAAAATGGAATTTGCAGAGAAGTAGCCGTATCCTCTTTTATAAAATTTAAGTGTGAACATTCAAAACAAAAGTCAGATGATACTTGCTATGAAGAACAATTTATAGAAGAGGAAGACAGCAGCACTGGATTTGCTGGATTAAAAACATATCATAACTATTTTAAAAATGGAAGCTATCTATTGATAGGATTTTTTCTTGTTCTATTTGCCCTGATTTTTATCTTGTTGACAACCTATGATTTGTCTCTAAGTTATTTCTCAAAGCAGACATTTAAAATTTCATCCATTTATGCAATTATCTTTTTATTATTTTTAATGGTTTTTCTAGAGACAGTTCGTCAATGGCTATTTACAATAAACATATCTTTCTGCTCTGTAAATCTACATAACAGAATGTTTAAAAGGATAATGACAATACCAATGAGGTTCTTTAATAGAAATCCTAAAGGAAGAATATTAAATAGGTTTTCTCGAGATATTGGATTTGTTGATTCACTTGTGGTTGATCTACTTGATCAAATTGTGTTAAATTTTGGACTGACAATATTCATAATAATTCTTGCAATATTCAACATATATTATTTGATTCTTCCAGCAGCCATTCTTGTAGTGTTACTATCTTATTCATTTAGTAAGCTGTCACCTATTTCTAGTGAATTAAAGAGATTTGAAGCAATGGATAGAACACCTATGTTTCAACAGATAGATAATGTTTTAAGTGGTATTCTGACAATAAGATGTTTTGAAAAAGAACAAGTTTACATGAAGAAATTTTATGAAGCTTCAAATCAACACAGCAATACTGCTTTATTATTAGAAACTTTTGTCATGTTTAGTCAACAAGTTTATTCAATAATTGTGTTAGTTTTCATTATGGTTGTAGCAGTTATAATAATTTTCTTTTTATCATCCTTTAATCCTCTAATATCAGCATTGGTAATCACTTATCTTTGCAGTATATTTGATGCTCTTCAATTTTCACTGAGAGTTATGTCAGATTTCGATATTGCTGTAGGTATTCATTTTTTTAATGTTAATAGAGTTCACAGTCATATTTCTTTTTGTTATTTCAGATGATATCAGTTCAAAGAATTACACATTACTCTACACTTGGTCAAGAACAGGATACAATTGACAATTCTGTGGAAATATCACCATCTTGGCCTCAAAATGGACACATTAAATTTAAAAATGTTTCTTTGAGATATGATGAAAAATTGCCATTAGTTCTCAAATCATTAAATTTTGAAATTAAAGCAGGAGAAAAAGTATATCAAATGTTTATAACAAACTAATATATCTAATTTCAATTTTACAAACAGATTGGAGTTGTTGGAAGAACTGGAGCAGGGAAGAGTTCTCTTCTTGCTGCCCTCTTTCAGTTGACTAAAATAGAGGGACAAATTTTTTTAGATGATATTGATATTGTAAATAATGTAGATTTAAGCAAATCTAGATCAGTGATTTCAGTTATACCACAAGATCCTATTTTGTTCTCTGGATCATTCAGATCTAACCTAGATCCTTTTGATATATATACTGATGATGAGATATGGTCAAGTTTGGCAAAAGTTCAATTGTCACAACGAGTGTTTAATCAAAGAGAACAACTTGACTCCCAAATTATGGAAGGTGGAAAAAATCTGAGCATTGGAGAGAGACAGCTTTTTTGCTTAGCTAGAGCAATTTTAAAGAAAAGTCGTATTTTAGTGATTGATGAGGCAACAGCAAATGTCGATAATAAAACAGATGAAATCATTCAAGAGATATTGAAAAGTGAATTCAAAAAGTGTACAATGATAACCATTGCTCATAGGTTAGAAACAATAAAGCATTATGATAGAATCATTGTTATGGATAATGGTCAAATTATTGAAAGTGGTAGTTATAATGATCTAATGGAAAAGAAGGAACATTTATACATGCTTGCCCACAGTTAAGAAATAGACAACTTCTGTATGTTGTTAAAGGAAATAGCTTTAGTTAACAAAGGCTTGAAGAGAAGAATTAAACATCTATAAAGAATTCACACTATTTTTTTTAAATTGGAAACAGCTTGAAAATATAAATGCTACAATTAGTCAATAAATACTTTAAGCAATTTAGTCTACTCTTATATGAAATAATAAATAAATTTATGCTAACTGTGTGCTGGTTCAGTAAATTGTAATATTTAATTATTCAATAAATATATATTTTAACAGAATATAATATCTATGCTTGCACACATACATTCATCAGCTATACTGTACAATAGAGAAGTAGTATCGAACTAGTATTGTGAGATGCAGATAGCACTGCTAGAGATAAGAAGTATTGACCTAGTTTTGCATAGGGCAGTGTATACACATTGCTCAGTAATAAAACCTATTAAATTATATACAGAATAATTTTTCATTATGGAAAAACTAGATATGGCCATAATACTTGATTACGACTTCTTACAAAATTCTGGAGTCATTATTAATTTTGCAACAAAACACGTTTCCCTTCCATTCTTTATCAGAAGAGGGGAACAAGTTAAGAAGTTTATGCAACAATCCCAAAGTCAACAAACAAAAAATGGAAAACAACCAAATATGGAGAAAATAACTGTTGAAATGATGGGAAAACATTTTCAAAATTATCAAAACTAAACTGAAAATGTTGACAGTAAAACCTATTCAGATAATGATTTGGGAATTACTATAAATTCATCTGAAGAGGATACCTAAACTACATCAGAGAATTAGATAAAAAAAATGGAAATGGAAACTCAATGAAAAGAGTTGGTGCATAAGAAAACTATCGAAGTTAAAAGAG